AGGCCATCGCTATTAGGTTGGAGGCCATCGCTATTGTTGGAGGTCATCCCCGGTGGTTTGAGGCATAGCTATTTGGGTTGGAGGCAACCGGTAGTAGGTTGGAGGCCATCACTGTTAGGTTAGGGGCGCTATTAAGTTGGAGGCGATTGCTAGTAGGTGAGACATTGTGAGACGCAGAGGTCGAAGCCACTTGGGAAACAAGTGGGTTCGTCCCGGAGGTTTCGTTTCTTCAGCAGGGACAGAAGGCTTGCTTGGAGCCAGGACCCTGTGCTCAGGGAATAACGGGAAATGACCCCAACCAGCAGAGCCATCGCCTGTGATGGTTCATTGATCATTTCTTCGAGGCAAGCAGCTAGAAGTTCAGCTTGTCTTCGCAGACACCGGAATGAACGATTCCGCTGCTGTCGAGAAGGCAGAGATGATTTATTTTCGGGCAGGCATTGTTTCGCCTTAAGTCCCAAACCAAGTAGGGAGAGAGCAGACGCTCGTGTGCGCAGACTCGAAAGTTCTACTACACGATCATTGATCCGGTGCAGGCCATGGCTTGGGCCTCAAAGAGCCTTTCTTTGAGCGCCTCCACCTAGTAGCTTCTTGTTAGTAGTAGCGATGGCCTCCAACCTAATAGCGATGACCTCCACCTAGTAGCTTCTTGTTCTTTGATCCTGAATCCTGAAGGCTTCAGATTTGCACCTAACCCCACGAGCCAAGGTCAACACCCACTTTGAGCACACTCACGAGGTCAATCTAGCAATGAGACAGGACCTGGTGTGGTCAGTTCACACATGCTTTGAATATCCCAGGAACATGAGAAGTACAGGCAACTGTAGGTGGTGAAGGTTTTGGACAGTGCAGAGCACACTTGGCGTTGGTCTCAGGAACAGATCAGCAAGGTGTTGATACACTGCTCGGGAGGCCGCGGGTAATAATGGGAGCTTCGAATTGGTATTCACCCACGTTGGGTGCCAAGGCGTTTCAGACTGGTATGGCACTCAAGTGGACGGCCTGCCGAAGCCTTTGTGGAGCTATCAGTTTGGCGTTCGGGCCTCAGAACTGAACTCTTTGCATTCTTGCTTGACGCGGTGCAATTCTGCACCAGTTTACCATCGGACCAGATGGTAAGTAATTGAGGTCTCGCTTCCATCTTCCTATTATCCGGAGGGGATTTTCAATTTTGCCCGCGCCTTACGCATCGATCTTTAGAAAAGAAGACAAGCAGCGTGGGCAGGAAGAAACACACGACTCCAAAAGTGAAGGCATCAGATCAGCTACATCAAATGGATTTCACCACCAGCCTCCTCCACATCCCCTTTGGTTAGCCTGAGAAAGAAGAGCTGTTGTTCCAAGCACTTGTTCGTCCCTCATCCACGTCCGACGAGACCACGAGACCACCGACTGAGTTGTCAAAGCAGCTGGACAACTACAACCCAGCGGACGCGACATCGCAAGCGGTGAAGAACTTCTTCGAGACAAATCAGGGCCACATGGCGGCCAGCTTTTCACATGGTGTGATGCATCAAAGCCTCCAGCTTTTATATATCGTTACGATGATATCTATTTCTCATGTTTTTCGATTTTCCTGTTGAAGGTCGACGCTTTTTCTTTTTTCGCAATGTGGGGAACGAGTTTGCCAACTACACCTGTGGAAGGGCCTTTGAGCAGGCGCACAACATATGACAGTTTCAGGATGCATATCTCCAACGGGAGGCGTTCCAACCTGTTGAACCTATTGAAACAAGATTAAACTTTGGGCTGGTACCACTCACAAGGCTGCCACAAAAGCAAACGAAAGGGAGCCATGTGGAAGATTGCGGGAACTCTTGTCCTTGGCATCGTTCTCCTTGGAATCTCCAACCCAATAGCAATGGCCTCCAACCTAGAAGCGATGATCTCCAACCTAGAAGCCATGGCCTCCAACCTACTAACGATGGCCTCCAATGAGATCGGCGCAGGCCTTGGAAGCAGGCTTTCAGGTCAGCAGTGAGGATGTCTGGGACTTTGACAGCCGGAATGCTAGTTATCCGACGTTGTTGCGAGAAGCTTGGCTTAATGGCTTCAACGGTGATGGAGACGAACAGTCCTGCTATCTGGCAGTATCAAGCGGCTGCATCTGAGGCAAAAGTGGAAACCCTGAACGCAAATAATTATTGGATGTCTGTGGGATGCACATGGAAGGAGGCGGCAAGTAACTTGTGTACCGAACGACGAACCTGTGGTTTCAGACCTCAGCAATCTGACTGTTCACATCGTGATCTCCATGCAGCGCACGCGTTTTCAAACAGGATGGCATCGAGCTCCAGAAAGCCATTGCTGCAGCAAAAACCGTACCTGAGCAAGTCATTTGCAGATCTCTTGAGGGAATGTGCTCATAGGGTTTTTGGTAAACTCGAACTCAGTGCAGATTCCACATCAGGTGACTTTGACATGTTCTTGAGTAACAACTTACTTCCCAGGAGCTTTTTGTGAATGTCATCCTGGAAGCACCATCAACGGAAGAGTGCCTTGGAAACCCCGACTTTTGTGAAGTCTCATTTGCTTTGTCAATCAACGGTTTGAAGGAGCTCCACTTTTTCTCGTGAAATGACTGGCAGGTGGCTTCAAGCCTTCCCGCCGGATAGTAGAGGATACTCTGATGGCGACTACGTTCTGTCTCCTACGGACTGGCATCACACACAGCATCTTCCACTTTGTACAGGTTGTGACAGTTGAACTTAGAAGCATGATTACATGCGGCAAAGAATCACAAACAACAAAACAACTGTCCGGATACCCCACTATGCTTGTGAAAACTTTTCCATATTGTCCTGCTCGCACAACTCTCAGACTGCATCTAAGGCACTACCGGGACAGCTCCTCAGTGGCTCAGTCGACTGAGCCTTTTGTGAATGAGTATAGAAGTGTCTATGGAGGTGACTCGGTGACTCGAAACCGCTCCAGAGAATCGTCACTCTGAGCTCGAATCGATCTCGTCGGCTTTCCAGTTTTGTGAAGATTTCATCTCACACGTCTGCGCTGAATGGATTGCGACCGGAAATAACTACGTATTGATTGCGATCTTGAGCTAATAGTGGCTTCGTCAGCTAGCTGTTTGGTGATTAGCAGCAGCAATGTAATATGTAAGTGCTCAATTCAAATTTGTGATGTACAAGTGGGAGTTGGCTGGAGTTAATCAAGTGAAGTGGCGACATAGGTATCGGGTGACTTTGCCAAGTCACGCATTGACACATCATCATATTTTTATTAGTGTTGTTTCTTACTTCCCTTCGTACAGGCTTTCTCACTTTTTGAAGGAAGACACGTGTTCCAGTAGCGTTCAGCAGCTGCCACCCCGTATCACTCGAGCTTGTGGAGTAGGCCCATGATCAGTGCAGGTGAATGGCCCATGCCTGACTTCGCTTCTTGTACAGCTGCTGGCGTGGTCCTGGAGCAAGCCATGCGTTCAGTGGTTTGGAATGGCGTGCAGGGGAATCTTGGCAGATCTTATTTTGTTTGGCTTTCTTTCTCTTCGTTAGAAGAAGGTGTTTGAAATTGTTTGAAGGTAAAGCCACTGCCACTTACTGTAGTGATTCTGGACCAACGCGAGGTTTGATGATGAAGCCCTGCGAATTGCAGTGCGGTGACTTTGCGGCATTGGATTGTCATACCTCATATACATGAGAAACACAAGAGCACATCACGGTGTTTAGCAAATCAAGAAGGAACAACACAGGTCTCAGATTGTGTGCGACGGCATCTGTGTTCTTTTTCTTTAGCGCTTGAGTTATCACACGTCGGCCGCTGCCGTCTTTTAGTCAGGAGGTGTTTCAGGTATCAAATGAAGGGCCAGATGATCGAGCTTTGGCAGGGCCTGCCTTCGTGGTTTTAGGTGTAAAAAAGGTGTTAAGGCCAGGGCATCGCTACGAACGGAGCATTCTTACGACTATAGTAACAAAAACGATACGACTGTGGCAGAGGGAAAGCTGAAGTTTCCGACATGCCGTCGGCCCCGCATCAGATTTCACACCATCCCCGCCCCATTTTGGAGAGAATCAAAGCCTTGAGTCGAAACATATTTTACAGAGTAGCGATGCCCTTGTTGCTAGTAGCATGTTTTACAGTTTTACATGTTTTCTTCTACTCAGGGACATTCGCATTGACACCTTTTACGGTGGTGTTCGCTTTGACAACTTCAATCAGAATGTGGGGCACGATGCGGCAGTGCCTTGGGCAGATTTGGACCCAGAACTGGAACGAGGTGAGTGAGGTAAGGTGATGACATGCAGAAGACATGTCCTTTCTTTGTCCCTTGACATGCTTCACATGCTTTTCTTTTCGACTTCGACTCTTCGCAAAACCGTTCAGACCGTTCTTGTCAATCGCGACAAGCCGCTACGTGTTGTCTGAGGTGCTTCAGGTTTTGCCAGATGCCGGGCAAACGCTCGTCACATCGGTGCCCCGGCATACCGGAACGACACAATGAAACAGACCGGAATGACATAGACTGGCGACAGGTGCTACTTAATTAATTACTTAAGCTACTAGCATGCACGTTGGTTCCAAGATTTTTAGGGAAACTAATAGCGATGACCTCCACCCTAGTAGCGATGGCCTCCAACCTAGCAGCGATGGCCTCCAACCTAGTAATGACGGCTTCCAACCCTAGTAGCGATGGCCTCCAACCTACTGGCGATGGCTTCCAGTAGCGATGGCTGCCACTGTAGTAGCGATGGCCTCAAACCTACTAGCGATGGCTTCCAGTAGGGCGAAGCGTTCGACTGCGTTGCGGTCTCTTGGCTGTGTTTAATTCTGAACGAGTCCGGAGGTGCTTCCAGAGACCAACTCGGAAAGAAACATCAAGTTCCCCGCGCCCTTGTGGGAATGGAGGCGCAGTGTTGTTTGCTTAGTATGGGTGTTGGCACAGGGTGTTTGTTCTCAACCCTTGTGATCATTCACCAGCTTTTGGAGCGTTCCCTGCAAAGTATGTAGGGGATCCCTATTAAGTGGCTCGCAAGTCGTTTGCTTGGATATTAGAACTGTGACGCAGGGATGGCTGCCCTCAGAGCAAACCGGATGCTTCCAATGGTGTCAGCTGCGAAGTTCTGGCGGGCCACTGAGTGTAAGACCGACGTAGAGATTCTGCACCGGAAATACTGGAGACACTGCTTCATGGTGCTTCACTGCTTTGACAGACACCGGAAATGTTTGAAACTGCCAGTCTGAGAGCCGTAGTCTGCCGTTAGTTTTTGAGGCGGACGATGCAATCATGCAGTACATCATCGGGATTAGCATTGCAGTGCCCCTGTGTTCCCTTTGTGCTGTCTACTTCGGCCGTCTGTGGCTTGTTTCAATATTTGCACAGGTCATTCACCGACAGTGCTTAGGGTGTAACCCATTGGGAATGCTTGTTGAGACATGTCCAACGTCCATTTCCTGATCTGAAGACCGAGCACGTCTAAACACCTCACCTGAGCGTCACAGATCCACCCTCTGCACCTGGGCGAGCGCACCATTGGCTCCTCACCCTGTGCACCTCGCGAGCGCTCAACGGTGTTTTACACGGTGGCATCGCTGGCAATCAGGTCCTGCGGCGTGCTTCGTCGCCGGCGGGAGAAGTTCGTGAAAAGATGGCTGGATGACCTAGACGCTGCTTTGTGGGTACCTCGTCCAACGTTCGAGGTCTTGGCTACCTGAGTGACCTGAGGAAGAAATCTGGACTGAAACAACTTGAAACAAAGCAGTCTTTTCGGTTGGAGGCCATTGCTATTAGCAGGGCACCGCCGGGCACCTTTCCACATCATCTCATCTGAGGAGCAAGATGAGGCAGCTGTGAAGGTGGCTGAAGCCCAGTTGCGTGCTTCATTTGCATTGGCGCCATGTTGTGGACGATGTGAATATAGATGTTGCTGCACAAACCTGCTCCCGTAGAGGTTGAGGTGCAAAGTCAAAGAAACTGGACGAAGTGAAAGAATAGGTCCTTGCTCCTAGTAGCAATGCCCTTTGCTACTAGTAGCGTCCTTGTTCCTAGTAGCAATGGCCTCCAACATACTTGCGATGGCCTCCACCTAATAGCATCCTTGCTCCTAGTAGTAATGGCCTCCACCTAGTAGCTTCTAGTTACTATGCCACTATGCAGCTGAAGTCCTTTCGATTTCTTTCTTCGAGTCAAGGCCGCTATAGAGGCAAATCAATGTTTGGGCAATCCTACCACGTACCGGAGATCAGTCAAGTGCGCCGAGACACTTTGCGGGTTTCATGTGCCGAGTTGACCGAAAAAGAGTTGCAAGCCCGGCAAGCCTGTGGCCAGTTTTGGCCTCCTCAGGAACAGAGTTTGCAAGCTGGTATCGGAGTTGCATATTTGCTTTCTGAAGAGTTCTACCAGCTTGCGTTGCTTGGATGTAGTTGGATGCAGGTGCAGTTGGCTGAACTCGCATGTAGAAGACGGTGTCAGACTGTGTTGCGACCAAGCACGCCATTCCTTTTTTTGCACTTTTTTCAACCACCTCCAATTCTTGACTAGTTTTGTGCCCTCCTAGGGCAAAAAGCTCTGGGCTGAAGGCTGGCTGATCCTGAGTTTTTTTGGACAATTTCTCCACTGTTTTGATTGACCTGTGACCCACTTCTGTGATTGAGAGAACTCTTGAATAAACATAAAAACATATAGATCCAATGCATAGTTGTGTGCAGGATCCAACGTTCCATGATTTGAAGAGGGCCTTCTTCATGGGAAGCCTGGCTGAGCAGCTGATGGTCATTTGCTGTAAATAGATTCGGATTCGAGCCGAATCCTCCACGGAGATTCGACTGTCACATGTTTCGACTGTGCTTGATCTTCAACACAGAGCCATGATGAAGAACTTTTGATTGCGAGAGCCACTTTCTATATTTTGCATTCATTGGAACTGCAAGGAGAGAAGAAGATTGGCAGTGACCAAATCTGCCCCAGAGACGGGCAGCTTGGAGAAAGGGTCGGACATAAGCTGAAAAGAACTTGACAGTGGCACTGAGGCAGAAGGGTTGTGCCCTGATCGATACCTATCCGAAGCAGAGACCCTAGCCACCTCAGTTGTGCCCACGGTCTGAGACAGGTGCATCCCCCGTGAACTGAGGCAGCATCGCCAGAAGCAAACACACTTTCTGTCATGGTCGTGGCAATACACCATCAGGCCCCGGACTCACCCAGTCGGCCGCCTTCGCCATCGTCGATGATTTCCAATCTCGAGGCAATTGAGAAGTGGTCTGGATTTTTGGGTTCATAGCTCTCAGCTCGATCCCAGCCACTTGGCAAAAGACACCAATTGTAGCCCGATTTGCATATGGGACGTCTGCATAGCCCAGGTGCTGCATTCTTGTTCATGTGCTTCTTTGTGAACAATCAGCATAGCTTCTTGGGCATAGAAGGCTGAAGGCTTTGAGGAATTCTCCGAAGTCCTGCGCTGTGAAGTGACCCGATCATCACAGATGTGCATCCCAGGAATTGTGGTGGCTGAATCCCATACGGGATCTGATGAGCTGGATCGGATTTTCGAAGGAGGGATGTCGAACACCGGGGAGAAGACTGATCCTTTCCTTTCCTTTTGTACTGTTTTTTCGGGCTTCAAGCAGTTTCTAGACTTTAAAACCAAGCATGTTCGCAGAAAGCAAGAACACTAGCTCTCATTTCGTTGAAGCATATTCACTCAGTGAAGGTCTGTAAAAGGCTTGAGGGCCTCCATTTCTCGCCAGGAAATCTGAAGCGAATTGGGCCTCTTGGAGCAAGTAGTAAGTCAAGCCCTTCTTTTCAAGCGATTTTGGACAGATACCTCCACCCTACTAGCGATGGCCTCCACCCTAGAAGCAATGGCCTCCAATAGCGATGGCCTCCAACCTACTAGCGGTGGCGCGCCCCAAAACTTGGTAAAATTAAACTAAGACAAATTTGAGATCGAGGTCTCGATAATTAACACTTTGGTCAAGAGTTCACTTTAAAACGAGATGGCTGGAGTGTCAAAGAAGCGTTCCTGTAACCTGAGGAAGATGATTGCCTTGCTGGACAATTGGAAAAAACCAGTTTACTTGACCAGGAGGGTTGTTGAACAAGAACAGGTCGATGGACAACACATCTGGCAACTAGCGACGTGGAAAAGCTGTTACGGCCGGCCAGGATTTGGACAATCTTTGAGCAGTATGTGGCTGTTAGCAATGCCATCGAGGTACTGAAACATGTTTGCCATGCACATGAACCGCTTTCATAGGTCTTAAGTTTGGGAGTTCCAGCGCAAGACTGCCCAAAAAGGGTATAGGCCGCATTGCGGCCGCATTGCGGCTGCATGGTTCGTTGAAGATCATTTTGCAGGTGAAGATCATTTTGCCAAGAGACGCAACTGAGAGCGAATGGATGATTGAAACTACACCATTTGCATAGCTAAAATCAATCAACTGGTAGACCTTGCTGCTTCACTCGGATGTTGACACCACTGCCATGTGGCATTCTGTGGTGTTCCTGAGATTGATCCTGGCATTCCTGAGACTGATCTGAGGCAGAAGCTGATTTGTTCATGACCATCTCTACAGGAGCAGAATCTTGGCCCGAGTGCTCAAGAACTCCCTGAGTTCACACGCAAAGGACGCAGAACATGCTCGGTCACCAGCTGAACTAGATGAGTCGAAAAGGACAGCTGAAGACAAAGAAGACAGTAGTCTACGAAATTCGAGGATCAAAGAAAGAAGAATCATCTTCAGAGTCTAGATAATTTTGGTCGCTAAGGAAGGCATCAACGCAGTGAAGGAGTCGCTTTGCAGTGTTGACTCAGCCACAGCAGATGCCTGGTCTCCTGATGACAAAGAGGCGGCTGCTGCGGATTTCGCTAGCGAGTTCTTGGTGACACAGAGTGCAGTTTGGTTTTGAGCTTTTTCTCCATGGGGTCGAGTTTTGATGTGTTCTGCATTGACGTGCTTCTCAAAATGAAACAAGGTGTGCTTTTTGCTCCACGAAGAAGATGCTAGCTTCTTGCCAGGCGATCCAGACCAAGATTCAGCATGGGCTGGAGAGAGGCTTTGAAGAGATCAATGAGCATGTCAGCCTCTAGGCACTGATAAGACAAACGAAGCACCTGACAAAGCTGACACGGGGTCACTTCCGCCGTGCTGATGAGCTGTTCTTCACTTTTCGAGCTCATTTTATCTTGAGTATTTGCAAAGACTTGTTGCGACGGCGGTTGATTGGTGAAGTGAGACGATTGCACCTTAGGACAAGTGATGATCAGTTGGATTGGTGACGTTGCCCCTGGCCATGAAGCGATGTAACTACTAGGAACAAGTGCATCGCTTCTAGTAACAAGTGCCTTACTAGTAGTAACAAGAAGCTATTAGAAACAGGTCCTTATATATGTCTAATAGCTTCTTGTTACTATATACTAGTAAGGCCCTTTGCTACTAGAAGCGATGCACTTGTTACGCAAAAACTACGTGTTCGAAGGACCGTCGCTCCGTTCAGCTCAGGTGGTGGGAGCAATGCAGCGAGTCCTGGTCGGAGAAGACCTGGTGGCCAGTGTGGCGCGGCTTAACACAGCGGCGGCTTCATGCGGCTTCTATGACTCATTACATTACTAGTAGCTTCTTGCTACTAGCAACGATGCACCTGTTCCTTTTTTTGGGGAGATGTAAACATTGGAGCAAATCCTGCACCGCCCCACCAGTGCCTCTTGAATGTTGGCGCGCTACGCCTCCGAGGTGATGGTCCTGTTAAAGAGGGAGAACCAGGGCAGAACATCGATACCGTTCATCAACAGTATTGCAAGGTAGTGTATTTGAATAGCGATGGCCTCCAACCTAATAGCCATGGCCTCCAACGTAATAGCAAACCTACCAGCGATGGCCTCCAACCTACTAGCGATGGCCTCCATCCTAATGTTTAGACATTGGTATATCATGAGATTTTGTGAAAGCTGCTCCAATGTCCCTCAGACCCTTTTTCACCCTTGACCCCGCAGGCCTTGACCATATGGCTCCGTGGTAGAACCTGTGTGTGAGTGTTCTGCGCCCTTAGGTTTAGGTGTGCTCACAGCGTTCCCTACTGGAACTGGATCAGGAACTAGAACTCCCCCACCCCACAACAACAACAACAACAACAACAACAA